TCTGCACACCCCCCACCCCTGGGTGCTGTGTGATGGTGGCGTTTGGGTTCGCTTTCTTTGTTTTTGTCAGATGTGAATCCAAATGGAGCACTCGGAAGGGGGCGAGCAGAGCCAACAGCAGCAGCCCTGGGGCAAGCTGATCCGGCTGGGTGCTGATGAGGCAGAGCCGCACGTCTTGCTGCTGAAAAGAGAATGGACAATTGGCCGGAAGAAAGGTGGGACAGGGACATGGTGCGTGGGCGGGGGGCGGTGTTCGGTGGACAGCGGTGATCCGCCCCTCCTGGCCTTTAAAACGTTAGAAGGCGCACTGAAACTAGTTGGGTGTTGTGCTTTCGACTGTGGGAGGTGTTTGCCAGACGGTGTCTTATTCCTAATTTACCTCTTGGCCCTGTGTGAAGAGGAAGTTTTTACACTGACCTTTCCTTTCTTACCGGCTTGTGGCATGTGCATGTTTAAAAGTGAATATGCTTTTTAGGTTGTCTGTGACAGTTTGTACAAATAAGAAAAAAAACAATTGTTGTTTCAGAAGGGTTTCTGTGTATCAGACCTGTTTATGTTCCCATTTCGTTTCTGTGGTTAAAAGAAGTTGGAGCTGCAATGCAAAATGCTTGTGCTTCACAGAAAAGAAAACGCCCACATAAAAGCCCTTAATTCTTCTGGCCATATAAAGATTGCTAATAAGTACTCAAAGTTTCTCAGAGAGTGGATTTGCAAGCTTTATTCTTGGAGTCCAGGGCTATTACTACTTGTCTTTATTTTAAAGGTTTTCATGGTTATTGTATTTAAAAGAAACATCACAGTGTTTTAATTCGTTTACTCTGCACTGACAGCACTAATTTTAGTTTCCTGTTCATCAGTTTGACTGACCAGTGACATTCTGTAAATAGTCTTGAATAAACACCAGATGCTATAGCTCTGTGAGAAATTGAGATGATGTATTGTAGGAAAAATGTTTTTCCTATTTATATTTGGTAATACACATTTAGATTGCTTATCATTATCTAAGCTGTAGGTAAATTCTTCAAATTGAGGTCTACTTGAGGGTTATCTTGCAGATGATTGATTTTTGTATGTTCTGTTGCTTCCATAGCTGTTTGCTAATGCATTAATCAAATAAGGAGTTACAAAAATACCAAGCTTTGGGTCATAGTATTACTTAGGAAATCTTTCAGGGCATTAGACATACTTGTTTAGAGCATTTTGTTCTTCCCGCTCTCATATGAAAGTCTAACTCCATAGAACAGAATGGAAATGTCATGCTCCTGAAAAAAATGTAGATGAGTCATCTGCAGTGGGCTTCCTAGGATGGCACGTTGTGTGGCAGAGGGTTAACTAGCTGTTGATTGTTCCTTGAATGTTAGGTGTAGACTAGTGATGAGCTGTCACCAGCATACATAGAGACTGTTGCTTTCCTTCTGGATACGTTGTCTTGTGGGCTGAGGTACAGTGTACCTACAGTGTGAATAGGTGGAAGTGAATCATATTTGTTAATTATAACCTTTATGTAAGCAAGTCCTTTGAGTCACTTGTGGGAGAGATGAGTGTCTTACGCAGGGAATCTTCTGCATTGCCTTTAACGTTCGGTGTTAAAATGAAGTAAAACTACTAGAATTGCTCAGAGCCCTGGAGTCACAGGTAGAAAGATTTCTATCATGTCAATGTTCTCATTACACTTCTCCATATCCCTAAATCTTAGTCCTGGATTTTTAATCTCCCATCAGCATTATTAATGTAATAGTGCTGTCAACAAAGATGAGGAAAATCGTCCTATTTTAAAAACAAAAGAAAAATACTTTAACATAGAACAGTAATACTATTCTTATTTATCAGCTGTTGATTCCTCCTACTTCCCCTCAGTATATTGGGACGAAGCAGAAGTTAAATGCAATGTAACAGTGTTACAACGATGTGGAAAAAGAGCTGGGTCCTCTGTGATGTATACCTCTACAATTTAGATTGTTCTAGAGTGATACAGAGATAAATTCACACATATTTGAAGTGTTCAGAGTAACTGTGATTTGATTTCCATCTGTAAGGGCTAGGACTGGGGGGGGGGGGGGGGGAGGGGGAACTAAACCACCTTGAAATGGTGAAAATAATGGAACATGGAACCATCTTGCCACTTGTATTTATGTTGTGCTGCCTATATGCTAGTAGAAATTTTGAACTGTGGCAGATGTACGTGAGTCAGTTGGTGTGTTTATAGCCATGTAGAATGCTGGCTATATCAGCATGTAGGATGCTGATCTGTTTGTGTAATCTGTATTTTTAAGCACACTGGAAAATCTGCTTTCTGTTTAAGGTTGTGACTTATCTTTCCCTGGCAACAAGTTGGTGTCTGGAGATCACTGTAAAATCGTAGTGGATGAAGAATCTGGTCAAGTGTCTTTGGAAGATACAAGGTTGGTTCTTCTGCGAACTTCTGCTCTTATCTTCTTTTTAGTCTGTGAAGTAAAATCTTGTGTATTGCTTGAGGCGTCAATAGTAAATAATCTTTCTTGTTTCTTTTTTTTTTCCCCCTGCTTTTATGTCTATTTTTGGGGTTTTTTTGGCTTGAAATATTTTTTTCTCTCCAAAGGAATTCATAGTCTACTGGCTGAAAAATACTGTTGGTATAATAGTTCTGTAGCATATTTCTTTCGCCTTGTGAAAAAAGTGATGCCAGCATTCTTAAAAGCTTTAAGCGTGAGTGTGCCTCATTTCAGTCACTTGTGTAGGGCAGAAAGTACCTGCAGTGATGATCTGAAACCATAAAATAGATGTGGAGTAAAGAATCTATACTTGTTATACATCTTTCTGGTATTCAAAACGTCAGTAGTCCAGATACCATAGGTATCAGCACAGTACTACAGTAGTCTAGCACTTGTGGTGGGCTTGTCAGATGGAGATTAGAGTCTGTTCAATCTAATTTAATAATAAAAGCCATTTGCTAGATTTCTGCTATTGATATTTCAATTTTGTTTTCTTTTGTTTAACCAGAATGCTTTTTTTTTTTTCTGGATGTTTCTGTGTTAAGTTAGGGGTGTGAGGACTAAGGCCCTTAATGTAGAAAGTTTTAAGCACAAACCTCACTGGGACTACTGTTAAAAAGCTAAGCTAATTTAGTGGAACTACTTTTAGTATATAAAGTTAATTACCAACTACTTCACACACTGAAGGCCAGTGAACTTGCTATGCTGGTGAGGCTAATTCCTGTAGAGTTCTAAGGCTACTGTGGGAGTACAAATAGCACTGCAGGGGTTGTGGGTGGTTTCCAAGGCATTTTAGTTTTCTAGTGTGCTTTATAAAATTTGATATAGGAATTTGAATGGAACAGTATTTCTAAGGAGGAGATTGTAAGCCTCTTCGAATTTTCATCTCCTTCATTTTTGACAGGATTTTTTGTCTAAGATTGCAAAAAGCTTCTGGTTTATTACATTTAAAGAACTCTGTGACATTTTAAAATGCTTCTGTGAAACACATTCTTTCTCTGCCAGGTTATTGCAGTCAGTAAAGAAACAAATAATACTTTTCTGCCAGTTGCCCCTATTTTCCATGCCTAGAAGGCATTTTGCCCAGAGACGAAGGAGACGCTTCAGAATATATTGATGTACACGAATAAAGAGGAAATTTCATGTTTGAGGTTTTGAAGGGTATCATGCTGAATCCCTGTTCCAACATCCCAGAATGCAATTTAATACATGGTTCTGGTAGCTCGGTGTTAGTATCAAATACCTGCTGAGCTTTTGACAAAAAACCCTCCAAGAATATTCTGAAAAACCTTTGAACTGTCTAACTGAATGGCGTGCACATTTTGGGGGGAAGTGATAGAATGTATGAGCTTTAATTGACATTTTTCTTTCAGCAGGTTTTTTACACCTCTGCTCCTTTTCTGTCTCCTGATCAATTAGTAGCTATGTTGTTATTAAAAGAAGTTTTTTTTCAGGGTGAGGAACTCACCTCCAGTTGTTTACATGGGCTATGCATTTATTTTTATTTTATTTCCTCAGGTAAAACAGAACATACAGAACTATTCAGGTTGGAAGAGACTCAGGAGTCACTTAATTCAAACTCTGTCAAAGATGGGTCACCACTGAATTTGGACTAGGCTGTGTAGGCTTTCTCTAGTCAGGTCCTTGAAAACCTCCAAGAACAGAGATTCTGTAGCCTTTCAGGGCCCTTATTACAGACCTTAGTTATCCTCATAGTGTGTTGGGTTGGTTTGGTTGGTTTTTTCCCTTGCATCCTGTTTGAATCTTGTTTGTTTCAATTTGTGACCTTTCTCACCTCAGTTAAGAACCTGTCACTGTGTTGGTCACTTCCTCGTAAGTGGTACTTCTCCCTGGCAAAACGAGCCCAGTTCCCCTAGCTCCTTAGCTCATAAGTCGTGTACTCCAGCCCTGTGGCCAGTTGCTATCCACTGCATTTGCTCAAGTTTATCAAGACCTTCCTAGTACTAGGTGACTCCAAATGTAGTATTTTAGATGTGGACTAATGAGTTCCCAGTAAAGAGGAATAATAATTACTTTGCTTGAGTTTCTGGCTACACCCCTGTTATTACAGCCAAGTGTGCTGCAGGCCTTCATCACTGCTAGGGCATGCAGCTGACTTACGCTTAGGCATAAGTCCAAGGTGTATGATTTTATGCTTATTCATAAGATCTACCAAGAATCCTCGCTGGTTGGTCTCTGGCCTGTACTGTTTCAGGTGGTTATTCCATCCCAGGTGTGAGGAGAATGTATTTCCTCTCCACTTCTAGGTTGTAGCTAGAGAAAATAACCAGGATCAGTCCCTGCATAGGTCAGTAGAGGGCTTATAATCCTGAAGCTGTGGAGTGGAATGCCACAGGAATTTTTGTGGAAAAATATCAGGCCTAGCTAGGATGTCTAGAAATAGTTTATAATTGTCATTCTCCAGTGTCATCCCCAGTTTCAGGATGTTTCAAACAACGGATCAGGCCATGTTTGCCTATCACGGCAGACTCAGAGCATAGCTGTAACTCTAAGCTTGAGAAACCGTCCTTGGTTTCACCTGCATTTAGCTGGTAGAATTGGTTCAGACTGATATCATAAGACAAGCTAAAGGAATTGTGAATGATATAGAAACATTGCTGCCTTTTTTACACACACATACACACGCCGCCATGCATTTTCCTTTCCCCCTGAGGCAGAAGGTGCAGCCAAATGAAAAGTTCTCTATGATATATTCACGGTAAGGTGGGGCTTGTTACAAAGGTAGTATAATAGAAAAGCTGCACCTATGGAGTACTACCATTAGCTGCTTATGCATATTACACTTCTGTGCATCTAATGAAAAAGAATAACAGCCTTTGTGTTCTGCTGGCCTGTGCGTCGGTATGAAGTGTGGGGCTACTTGCTGAATCAAGAGACTAGACAGCTTGATGTGACTGCTTCCGGAAGAGTGTCTGTTCTTCTGGGTCTTCCAGTGTCTGTGCCAAGTATCAGACGAGCTCTAAAAAATAAAGTAGGCTGGAAGAAGGTTTTTCAATGTTTGAGTTGGCAGTACGGATGCCCAGAGTCCCAGAAAAATACTGCGACATCAACTTTTTCTTCTCTGAAGTGGAAAATAGTTTGGAAACATTGCTGTGGTCAAGCTCAGATTTTTCTGGTGAAGAGGAGTGCAGTGAAGGAGGCAGCTTGTGTGGGACAGTTGAACTGAGTGGACTTGTTTCTGTATTGTAGCTAAACCAAAGAGTATCATCAAATATATGTGCACAGCCAACATTGGCTTTTATCTCCCTAGTAGCATAAGGAGTTCTTGGATCTACTTTGGAAAGAATTACCTTAAATTTGCAGGTGAAAGAAAATCTGTAGAGAACTCAAAATTGTTGAGTAAATAGAAGTTTGGAAGTAACAAAAGCCAGGAGGTAGCAAATAATACAATAAAGTATTCATGGACTCGCTCTCTATTGGGGTATGTTTCTGCTTTGTTTTCCAAACCATGCACTAGTTGCTTTATACTGCATGAAAAAAACCCCAAATTACACAAGCTGACCTGACACTGTGGAGGCAGTAGTTGGCTTGCCCTCAGTAAAAGCAATTCTAAGAGTCTCCATTTTGATAAAGAAATTTTAAAGGCAACTAAGGTAACTTTTTTAAAGACTTCCTCTTGTCATCTTCTAGGGAATTTTTAAAACAAGGATTCTAGACAGTAAGTGATGTTTCAGAGCAGGAAACTATTTACATGGGGCTGATACTCGTGACAGGCAAGCAGATGTTCTCTTTCTCTGAGTAAATTGGAGGTTGATCTTCAATTGGCACTGGTGTCTTTTCCGCTATCTCCTCGCCCTACCAGTCAGAACTATTTCTGTGAACATTAAAAGAATGGAGACTGGCACAGTACAGAAGGGATTCTGTAACTTAATAGAATTCAACACTCAGTTTACAGTGTGTTCAGGATAATACACATTTAAATAGCAGGTGACTATTAAGACTATTAACCCAGGAGCTTTACCATAAATTACATTCATTTCCTGGCAGGATGTTAGTAAAAGTGACGGACTGGCGTATTTTTCAGAAGGGTACCCAAGTATCTTAGAACACACAGATCATTCACCTACTTAAAAAGTAATTTGGTTCTGAGTGAAATGTAGCTCTTCACGTCAATTCTGCACAACAGTTGGGGGTGGAAGGTAAAAGTAATGTAAATCAAACTGTAGAGTCATCAACCACATTCGAATTGAGTCAAGACTTGACTTTTTTTCTTCCACTCTTTAGAAAAGTGACAATGGGACCTTTTGTGACATTGTTTCACAGCACAGACAATTTGTATCTGATAGTACTGTTTTTCTTCTTCACCTCAAAAATTATATCATTTTTTGGTATAATTGGTATCAATTCAATGTGAGGTCCTAAGGAATGGCCTTCATATTTAGGATTCTCATTGTACTTTATACTTATTTTATGAGGACCTTTAATTTGAAACATTAGAGGAATGTACAAATGTCATAATTTATCATAGAATGGTTTGGGTTGGAAGGGACCTTAAAGATCATCTAGTTCCAACCGTCCCTGCCCATGGCTCCAGGAGGTGGCAGCAGAGGTTTGCTGTCATTTCATGCAGCAGCTTGCTTTGTTGAGGGAAAGCAGCAGATTTTCTGGTCTTTTATATTCGCTTGCTGACATTTTCATGATGAAAGTCTGAAATTCTTGAATGCTGCAGCCCTGAAAGAGGCTTATTGCAACTGCCTCTTTGCTGGAATTACTCCAGGCTTGAATAATTTGGCTCAGTTACTAATAGCTTGTGTAAAAAACATCGTTCATCGTGAAGGAGCAGAGATACCTCCATTATTCAGCAGTGCTGTGTTTTCCTCAGTTTAATTTCTTCCATGAATCTTGGAGTTTATATCAATATAAAAATAATTCATTCCAACTCATCTTTTAATTATGTATAACTGTTTTTCCACCTTGCTAACTTCTGGCTTTTGAGTTGCAAACAGTCTAAGAAACCTCAGAGTTTTAGGTTTTTTACTATGCGAAGCAAGAGGGGAGAAAAATTAGTGTTGCATAATATCCCTGACTGTACAGGAAAAGTTCCTTATCAGAGAATATCTTGGGAGATTTGCAGTGTTGATTGTAAAACATAACCTAGAACTTTTTAATAGAACTCTTGTTGCCTTTTCCTGCTTTATCCTTAAAGGGTGGAGATTATTGTACAGAAACAATCATTAATTATTTTGAGGCATTGGGCACATGTCAGGGATCTTTTTACCTGTCTACCTGTTGGTCAGCTACTGTTTCTTTACCAGTAGTTGCAAATGAGCTTTGAAGTCCCAGCAGCTCTGCACTTCTCTCTTTGGGACAAATTTTCTGTTTCTGGACACTTTGGGGTTGTGGGTTTTTTTGGTTGGTTGGTTGGTTTTGATCCTGGCTTAAGGGTTTGTATTTTTTTTTTGAGATCCAATAGTATTTCTTCATTAAAACCATCTTGTGTTTTTTCCTTCCTTCTCCTCTGTGATTATGAAAACATTTATGCTAAGTTATCTTCTCTTTCTCTTTACAGTACTAATGGAACAGTAATTAATAAACTCAAAGTGGTGAAGAAGCAGACATACCCTTTACAGACTGGGGATGTGATCTATGTTGTTTACAGAAAAAATGAGCCAGAGAACAGTAAGTAAATGATATTTTTCAAATGGCATGCTTAGTCATTTTTTTGAGTCATGAGAGAAAAGAAATATCAGTACAATTAAAACAGTTACTCAGTTTTAAGATGAGTAATTTGTTAATGTTTAAAAACAAGTCTGTATAAGAGATGTGCTGGGAGATGGGAGGGTGTAGCATTAGATACATTTACAGCATGATATTTAATGTAACACACAAGGTTGCATTTACAGTTTTCGTGCAGTAATCAACATAGGAACTGTTAATCTAAGAATTCTAGATACATACACTCCTGAAATAATTCCTTTATGAAGTTGCTGCTAGATCTGTCTGTATGTAAATTATGCTGTCTGATCTAAATGTTATGAGAAGCGGTGATAAGCTAGATTTGTCTGTCTATACGGCTTATCTCTCAAATCCATTCTGAGATGGCACTATTGCAGTTGATGCTACTTGGAAGAACTCACTCCGGGTACTTTGATTTCTGTTTGAGTTAGCAAGTGTTTGAATTACCAAGTATCCAGTTTTGCTTTTTCAGCTTTCCCATCTTCAAAGACAGAGTTTAGATTTGGCATGCCTGTTTGGATGTTCTGAAGGAGACAATACTCTTTTAACTTTTGATCAGAAAAAGGGTTGCTACTAACTAAGAAAGTCTTACTTGCTTCTAGGTAGTTGTAGATGAAAAAAAACCCAAGTAGCAGATTAGGGGAATCTTTGGAACTGTATTAGGTTGAAGTAGGATGGAGAAGAAAGGGATATTATCTGTTTGGTTTTATTAGTAGATACTAAATTAGTTTCTGGATTAAATTTATGGCATGTCTTAATCTGTATTTTTGAGTGTTGATGTATCTCACAAAGAAATGACATAAAATTGATTGAAGAAGTTGAGAAGTGAGCTCAGAAATAATAAGCTGCTTTGAAGAACTTTTAAGTATCAGTAAAAATACAGTTTGTTCTGCCATAGAGCAGATTTTAAGTTTTAAGTAATAATTAAGCCTCTGGTTCTGTGTCTGGCACAAGTGTAATATCACACAAAAGTCGCTCTGCATGGTTTCCTCAGAAGAAAAGGTCTTGCTGTGCTGTTCCTAATACTCCTACTTAGGAGGCAATTAACGTTGTACTATAGAGGTGACCCCTCATTTGCCTCTTCCCTGGTCAGACACTTCGGGGAAGCAGCCACTTGTCTGTGAATAGAAGTTGTTTATGTGAGATTAAGTTTAGTGAATATTTGTTTAAAGATTCTGAGCAATATTTTTCAATCTTTTTCAGATGTTGCTTATCTTTATGAATCCTTAAACACAAAACATGATGCAACTCAAGAACCAGTAGGTAAGGAAGTAATTCAAGATCCATGAAGAGGAGCTAAGCTCCAATGAGTAATGTAACCCTTTTGAGAGAGTTTTGTTCCTTGGAATTTTGAAGCCATGATGTTGTGTCTGTCACACAGATCTTTTTCTTTCCTTTCCCCCTTCCAACTGTAGAAGTTAATGTAGAAAACCAATGCCATGTGACCAAAGATACCTCAAGTACAAGAAGAAGTAATGATGAGACCCAAATTACCTCATCACAGTCAGCTACTCAGTCTTGCTATGAGGAACCACAGCCATCTACTTCTACATCTAACCTCTTTAATGCTTCTTCTACCTCTCTTATTGAGTCTGCATCTGCTCAGCAGGATAATCCTTCTACATCTGGTAAGAATTGTGTGAAGTATTTAAAGTTTGATATCCCATCAACTGTCACTCCAGTTCTGAATTTTGGCAGATTAATCTCTTGCTCCTATCCTATCTCTAGCATTTGCTTTGTTAAGTTCTAGTGAAAATACCAGGTGGATGTGTGCATTTGAACTTTATGAGTAGGCAGGGTAAGTCCTGGTGGATGAGTAAGGCAATTGTGAGAATTGCTTATGCCCAGAGGGGCAGGGAATACACGTATGTCCCAAACTATTCCATCTTTATGCTTTTGTAGAGGAGCACTGGTGAAAACTTCGCAAATCTATGTGGCTTATCTGTCAGAGTAAGTAGATACCAGTGCTTGTGCTCATGCAGTCGCTCTGAGAAATTACTCTGTCACAGTTACTGCTGCTGGTCACCAGTCCCCTTGTATAGAGCTCTAATACCAAAATACACCACTTGGATCCCTAGTCTAGTCCCCTGCATTATGTTGGCAAGTGTAATACCACGGTGCTGCGTAATTCTTAAGATAGAACTGGAGCGAAAGCAGCTGTCTAGCACGGCATTTGTAAATAGTTCGTTGGGACTTCTTAAACATGCTCCTATAAAAACAAAGCTCTGCCCTCCACTGGGATCCTGGCCTGTTACATATGATCAATATTGCATACATCCTCTGCCTAGCATCTTTGTCAGGAAGACCGGGTGTGGATAATAGTCTTGTGAATAAATACTCTACAATTTAAAGAGGAATGGGAGTTTTAAGCAGGGTTACACAACTAGTAGCTTGTTTCTCCCCCAGGACTTCCAATTAGTCAGATTGGCTCTGAATACATGTAGTATAGTTACGCAGACATTGCTGGTTTTGCTCCACTTTTTCCTATTCAGATGTTTGGATTGCTGTGTGTGCGTCTGCACTGAGTACCTGTTTTCACATGTCCCATATCTGTATGCAGCTGTGTTCACATCTCTGTTTTTATTTTGCAGGATCACAATCCTCAGTTTTCACTCCTGTGCCTGCTCTCCCCATCTTAGAATCCATGTGTCTAAGAGCACTGCATGATGAACATGAAAAACTGGATATGAATATGGAAACTTCTGCAGTTGCTTCGGAAGTGACTGACAAAGAAAAAGCAGAATCGGATTTTCAAAGGACAGGGGAGGAGGAAGGTTTGGAACCTGCAAAGAAGAAACTAAAAGGAGGCTAGTATATGACAGTATTGTGCACGCTACCGTGAACTGTTTTATTTTAGCATTAGTGTTGAAAATTAGTTTAAAACACTTCATTAGAAACTTAAGGCTATGTTCATTTTTCTTAGAAGCCCACAGAAACATAAGGATCTGTGTTTATTTTTCTTTATTAATAGGAAATAAATTAAAAATGCATGCATAGCAAACCTAGAAGGTCTTGAAAGGTTAGGATAATAGGGGGTAGGTAACTTTTTGCCTCTTCACAATGTTATTTTATGTTTTAGTATTGTATTAAACAGGAAAAGTAAAACTCCCCTCTCAGTTTCCCCCCCCTGCCCCAAATTGAGTCAGGTCAGCTGTCATCAGTCCTTCAATTTGCTGCTTCCTGACTTGATCTCTGATCCAATGAAAACAATGTTTTCAGTACCAGAAGCTGTTATGTGTAAAGCAAGGACCTTTAGTGGGACCAGTGAACAGTGAATCCATGTATATCTTTCCAGTCTTTTTTTAACACTTTAAAAAAAAGAGCTTCAGAGTTCCATAGTGTGGAATCTTCTGTCTTTTGTAGATGAAGATGCTTGTCCAAATCTTCCACCAGCAGTTCCAAGTGAATGTATAATTAAAATTGGCTCTGAAGATGCAAAAACATCAAATGTGAAACCAGATAAGATGGAAGAAACTTTAACTTGCATTATCTGCCAAGAACTGCTGCATGACTGTGTAAGGTATGTACAACTGACAAAAGCTGTAATCATGAGGTAATAACATCAGTTCAGTGACAGCTCTTTAAGGTGGCCAGGATATTCTGTTTTTTCACAAGCTCGTCCAAGACCCTCACCCCCCCGCCCCTATCTATAGAGTGAAATCAATGCTAAACAGTTTTTTGAGTGTGTTGTATGCCTCTGAAAAAGGAAAGATTTGTGGTTTGACTCCCTTTTTTTCATTGTTTTCATGTTTGTGTTTTGCAGCTTGCAGCCTTGTATGCATACTTTCTGTGCTGCCTGCTACTCAGGATGGATGGAAAGATCTTCTCTATGTCCAACTTGTCGTTGTCCAGTAGAACGTATTTGTAAAAATCACATACTTAACAACTTGGTTGAAGCTTATCTGATTCAGCATCCAGGCAAGTTGAGCAGTGTGTGTGACAGTCTGATATATTTCACACGGTAGCCGCGTAATTGATGTGTGCGCGGACTCTTGTCTATTAAATTTCTATGTATTATTACTCTGCTGTTTTCTCTGACATGGCTGTAAGAAAGCAAGTGCATTTAATATGATATAATAACTTGTAATATTTCAAATAGGGGGTGAGAAGTGAGGGTGATGTAGTACTATAACTGAATATACTAAGAATTCTTAACTTTATTTTGTTACCTAATCATGAGAAGGGTATCAATTTTTATCAGATATGGGACACTGATTATGTCACCTAAACTCAGATACTTCTGGAAAATATACTTGAATATGGACGTAATTAACTTTGATCATGGCCTCTTGAAATAAAACTGATGGTACGCTTCCATTAACAGAGAGGGGACTTGTAACTAAGATCTTCTGAACTCTGTTATCCAAAAATAAATTCTGCAGTGATGAAAACACAACACTGTTAGGATTAATGTTAACGTAGGGTAGGGAAAAGGTACGTGAGCTATTCCTTTCTCCTGAAATTTGAATGTGGTTCTCATGCCAGATAAATGTCGTAATGAAGATGATGTACGTAGCATGGATGCTAGAAACAAGATTACTCAAGACATGTTGCAGCCTAAGGTGCGGAGGTCTTTTTCAGACGAGGAAGGAAGTTCTGAAGATTTGTTGGAATTGTCAGATGTAGATAGCGAATCTTCAGATATCAGGTATGTCTAGTGAAATTCTGCACTGAATTAGACTTATTTGAATGCACAAAACCTCAAGCTGAGCTAGTTTCACACACACTATTATTGGTAGTGTTTCTGTGGTCATTGCCAGAATGAATCTTGGGTTTGTTTTCAGGTAAGTTTGTTCTTACCAGTAATTAATCTTTTTTTGCTGAACCTTGAGCAGTCAATAAAAAATAATTAAAAGTAGAACTTTGTAGAAGTCCAGCAAGATTTGGTTAACAACCAACAGTTCTATCCTGAATTGTGCAACAGCTTTGAGATATGCAAAATTACCTTTCCCAGTTATGAATTGGCTGTTGCTTCAGAGAAAACAGGTTTCTGGCTAAGATCTTGTCAGGAGATAAAGCAGGTCATGACCCTATGAGTGCAGCTGCAAGGATTGTACTTTCTTACGTGTCTGGAATGCTGCTTTCACCAAGTGTATGGTACTTAAGCAGCTGATGCTTGACCTAGGGATTCTCAGACACCAAAATATCCCCTCCTGACTTCCAACAGCAAACACTTTTTGCTGTATGTCTAGAGGGGAACAGAAAAGCTCTTCCTGTAGATGATTATTCCAACTTTGTTCCTCTCTCACTTGTTCATTTCACTTCCAGTCACACTGCTCTTTTTGTCTCCCCCCTCCCTTTTTCTAAAGTACTTGGGGAATACTACAAAATACAAAGTTTTTCTTGTTACAACTGCAGCAGTCTTCTTGGCTGGGAGGTACTGAGTTATGTAAACTTCCATATGTTACTGGATGAAGAAATTCCAAATTTAAACTTTGGAAGTATGACCAACCCTGTCTAGCGCAGGGATATGAGTTATTTGCATTTGTTGGGTGCAATTTCCTACGGGCTTATTTTTTTTTCTTTCAGTCAACCGTATATAGTCTGCCGACAGTGCCCAGGGTATCGAAGGCACTCTGTTCCAACTCTGCCTGGCACAGGCCAAGAGACAGAAGCAGGAGGAATGCAAGCACTGGGAGATGCACCATCTACGTCAGCCAACTTCCCTGCAGGTCAGTGTCATGAAATCTTCTCAGTCGTGTGATACTAAAGTACCGTAACTCGTACACCTGTTATGAACGAAGCAAACTCACTCTCATGAGAGTAACGCCACTTCAGAGGTATCTCTTCACAGAGGTATCTTTGCTAACATTGTGAGATTTGACCATGTGTTTTCTGTGGTTGTCCAGAGTAGGTTGCTGATGGTTGAGAGTTCTTAAACTCTTCTACGTACTGAAGTATTTTACACACCTACGTAGTTTAGAAGGCTGAATGCCATTTTTCTACTCTTCACAGTATCTTTGTAAAAATTATAGTGTTTGTATATTACCTCCAGATTTTTGTTGCTAATATTCAGTAAGATTCCTGTTGCAGATTGTAATGGTTTACGTTGTTCAGTCTATCCTTTCTTTTTCTCTTCTTAACTCATCTAGCTGTCCAGGAATATGTGTGTCCTGCTCAAGGAAGTCATGTAATATGCACCTGCTGCTTCCAGCCAATGCCTGACCGAAGAGCAGAGCGTGAACAGAATCCTCATGTTGCTCCTCAGCAATGTGTGTACACTTTCTTTTAAGTCTTGGCTACAGAACCAGATCTCTCCTTATTTTTAATTAAAAACTTGTTTACTTTGAAGAGTGTTATTTATTTGATTATTCTTTAACTCATGCAGTGACAGCATGAAAGAATCTTCCCTTACAAACTTCATAATTCCTCTATGGAATGTATTTTACATGAGAAAGCTGTACTTTTTTAACCAAGTTCACCAGGGCTCTGTTGTTACTGATTTATAAGCACAGTTACTATTGAGTGTTCTGTGCAGGTTCTTAGGGGGGTTTTCTTTGTTATTTTACAGGTACAGTTTGTCTGCAACCCTTCTGTCACTTATACTGGGGCTGCACTCGGATGGCGTGTTTTGGCTGTTTGGCACCATTCTGTGGTATTGTGGAATAATCTGTTTCTTACGAGCCTGCTCGTTTTTGCATTAATGTCTGTCTTGTCTTGAATTTTAGGTAATTTAAGAAACAGTAGATTAGTTTGTAGCACAGTCAGGCAAAAGGAAACAAAGGCTGTGTCCTCACATCACAAAGACAATTGCTTAGTGGTATATGTGTTAACTTTGAGAGGATTTAACTTCTTGTCTTCATAGCATACTGGCTTTGAACACTACACTTGTTAAGTGTAATGCTTTCCTGTATAAAAACAATGATGGTGTATTTCAGCCTAGTAAGGGAGTCATACAAATCGGTGCAAGAGCATGGAGCACCTTATGTCAGCTGATTAGAATAGAATCTTACCCTCTTAAACATGCAGACCTTGGAAACTCCAAGTTTTAGGCATTTTAAAAAATAGAACAGTTGAAGTGACGTGGCTGCAGTTTGAAGCGAATGGAATGTGCTCTGACAGTGCTGTTAATTTGTGCAGACTAGTAGTAGTGTTTGTGGAGGAGAGGTGAAACTGTACAATCTCAGTGTATTGACTTTGAATGCCAGTGGAAGTTATCTGTATCACATGCTTCAGCATATGTTGAATGCAGTCTTTTATTTGGTGCTCACACGAGTCTGTGCACATTATTTCAGAAGAATCTTTGGAAAATGTGTGAGGGCTGTGGGGTTGGGGGAAGAAATGGTAACTTTTCTTCTTCTTGTTCTGATTAGAAATAAATCTTGGTGATAAGTGTTTAGATGGAGTCCTAAATAACAACCACTACGAGTCAGATATCCTGAAGGTACGTTCAAAAATTAGTATGTGTGATGCATAATAATAAATGTACAAAGTTTAGAATGTACATCACTGATGAAATGACAGTGATGTGCTGCCTAACAGTTAAAGTGGCAGCATTGTGTCACTTGCAGCACCTGATTCTGAAAGGCAAATCTGTTGAGGCCCGGATGTTCAGCTGGACCACAGTTATAGTTACTGTGTCTAGACTGGAAATATTTGGGGGTGATAATTTGGCCCTTTCAGCCTCTGTGTAGAGGGCTCCATATTCTAGAGTTGCATTCCATTTATCATCACTTTCATGCAATCCTCATGTTTAATTTTTCCAATGTGTATGTCTGACAGGTGCCAAGAAGGCCAAAATTCTAGACATAACTTCTGAATTCGAGTTTAAATTGCTGATAGACATACTGTAGAATTCAGATATGTTGGTTATTAAATCATCAAAGAATTTTACTTGAATGAAGTATTTGTTAGGGAGGTGAGTTTCTACAGTGTAACATCTAAAATATCAAAAAGAAAAATCTCTCTAAAATTATACCAGGAAAACAAGAATTGTTAAATACTTTTTCCCAGACAAGTTAAATTTCGCACTAGGTTGCATGGAAAATATTTTGCCCATACCATAACGGGGCTATCAAAATGACATAAACAGGATGAAATCTTGATTTAAGGTAAGTGAGACTGTGACTGAAATGCACCTTTTTTGCATTCTTTTGTCCAGAGTTGGAGTAGGAAGGCTTTGTTGGTGATACGAAAATATGCTAATTAAGTTAAGGGCTTTTAATTTTTACTTGTAATCAGCATCAGCCCATTTCGAAAACCCAGTTAGGTCTAGATTTGCAAATATTGGAGGGTGAATGGCGTGGTTACTCTTTAATGTTGGAGATTTTTCTAGATTAAACATTCAAATTGATCTTTTCAGGATTACCTGGCATCCAGGGGTTTGACATGGAAAAATATGTTAAACGAAAGTCTCTTAGCTCTTCAAAGAGGAGTTTTTATGTTGTCAGGTATGTGTTCTGTTCTTTTTTGTCCGTGTATAACTCTTTGTCTGTATGTAACTTGGTAATACTATAAAGAGGTTTGAAGTACATAACGAGTGCCATCATGACATTTTTGTTAAATGTGATTTCTCAAGCCTTACACTGACACTAGATCCAAACTGGTTTTCTCCCCAGATTACAGAATTACTGGGAACACAGTGCTTTGCTACTGTTGTGGCCTTCGCAGCTTTCGAGAACTTGCCTACCAGTACAGGCAGAATATTCCTGTTGCTGAATTGCCAGGTGGGGATTGCTTCACACAGTAAGGGGGGAAAAGTAATTTAAAGAGTTTTATCCTGGTATCCTTTTGGTTTTTAGCACCTTGATGTAGCCCAGTGCAAATATCTCTGCAGGGCTGATAGGCTGATTGCTTTATTTGCCAGCTGCTAAGTTTGCATAGAGCTATTGTCAGACTCCCTAATGGAATTTTTTCTTTCAGTATGATTTCTCTTTAGTAGGATAAATATATCTGTGTAGTGAAAAGAATAATTCAGTAAAATCCAGAACATGGTCAACAGGAACTAGTTGCTGTAATTTAATTTCTTCTCCTATTTAAATACATAAAATGATGCACCTCTGAATAATTTCACATTTTACCGGCTCTCAACTGGGAACAAGAATGTTTTCATAAATTGGTTCTAAATCTATTTGCATTTACAGTTATAGTATAAAATAGCTTGCAAGCAACTGTGCCTCCTTCAGTCCCAGATCTGTTGGGAACAGAAGCTCTTTCAACAGTCTGCTTTTAAATGTTACTTCTGTCCGTCGAGTTCCCGTTGTTAGCAACAGCCTTCCTGTCTTTAAGAGCTGAGAACTCTGCTTCTGCTGCTGTGCGTAATGAGGGACGATGAGTTTACCTTGATTCTCCTTACTATGGCATTTCATTTCAGTGTAACAGCCTTCTGGACAGCTGAGTTATAACATGCAGAAGTGGGGGAAAACCAACAAACTCTACCCAAATTAATAGATTCTCATTTCCTATGGAAGCATATCTAGGCATATGTTCAGTGTCTCAAACTGTGAACTCCATCTCTGAAACTAAATGGTAAAATTTCAGTTGACAGCACTGAGAACCAAATCCTTTCATCATAAGGCTGTGTGAGCCTAAGACTCAGAATTTTTCGTCCTTCACTGTTTCCTTTGTTTCTAGAAGGGTGAACCAGTCTACAGTTTATAGTTGTTTCTTGACAATCATGTCTTGTTTCTCTACAAAGCCTGCTCCGTGAGTAACCACCATTAGCAGTGGCTTATGAATCTACATCACCTGATTTAATGACTTCTGTAATAAATGTAGCATTTCGTTTGCTGTTTGTGTAGTGGCTGTGACATCACGTCCTGATTGCTACTGGGGGCGCAACTGTCGAACTCAGGTCAAAGCACATCATGCCATGTAAGTTATACAATTTATAAAAAACAACAACAAAACACAACCTTTGAAGTGCCAGAAATTGTGTGAGTAACACTTCCCAGCATAAGCAAAATGAGCTTTGGGGTTTTTTGTGTTGTTTGTGTTTTTAACTTTGAAATGAGCCCTTTGTGCATGTCAGAAGGGCACTGCCAGCACTTGTAAGTTGATGTAACCCATTGCTGATACTTCTTGAGTCTTGTTTTCCACCCACAACTCTGCCTTCTTTCCTATTCTTCTCCCACCGAAGCAGCATCTCATTTACTCAGTATGGGTGCTTCTTATAAACACTCTATCTACCATAATTAGCCCTGTGCAATTCTCATTTGGAACTGTAAGGGAGACTCTTCTAGTGAAGTGCAACACTTTGGAAGCGATAAATTGGTGGGAATAATCTGCAGTAAGAGAAGCAAGAGATGTTTGGAACATGCAGCATTAGGAACCTGGTGTGGCTTGGAAATTCCTGGTTTTGAATGAGTTTCTAGGTCTTACACCTCTGACCCAAGCAATGTGGTATATGGTGAAAATTAAATACTGAGCCTGAAGAGAGATTAACCCTCTAGTTCTCAAGTGTTTTAATACATCTAGGGGACATGGTCACCTGGTATCTGGTCAGTCATGAGAAATGTCCAAAATAAAACCAAGGTCCTTGATTAAAAAAAGATCAAGGCCACTGATAACCACTGCGATTTCATTCCTACAGGGTGCACGTGTGGCAAGACAAATATTTAAGACTTGTAAAACAAAACAAAAATTATCTACCTAAGATCTGACTGGTTCCAGGGAGGATAGAAAAATCCCTCTTGCTTTATGAATAATTCTCTAAATTCTCGGTGCAATTTAAATTGGAGGAGCTGTTACCCCTTACTGAGATATTGCTTTAATGAATTGTAGATTCTGCAGTATCTTTCTAATGCTGCAATGAACGAACACACTTAGCATAATTCCTTTAATATTTCAGGTACTGTTGGTTGAAAATAGCCAGTCTGTACAGCTCATGCAAGCAGATCATAAGAAAGACTTGTAAAATATTCATCCGCAGTCTCTTGCAAATTCAGAGGGTTTTACCAAATAACTTTCAAAAATAATTTGGGAGTAAAGTTGCAGATGGAATTCAGAGCACCACTGCTGCCTGTAACTTCACATGACAGGACTGTCTCTGTTCCCAGAGGAGACTGTTTTGAAATGTCAGAGAGTTAATTCAGTATCAAAGCACTCACCAGTCGTCTCTGTTCATATTCTGGTGGGTAATTCCATCTAGAATGGAAATGACTCAGGGTTTTTTCCTTTTTTCTTTTCATCTCTTTTCTTTTTTTCTTTCAAGCATTAACTGTTCCTAGAACTTTACTGGCTGCTGCTCTTAGTTCCTAAAACCCATAAAAGCAAACAATCCTATCATACCACTCCTAGATATACTCAGTTATGTTTTTACAGGGTTTTTTTAATTGAGCTAAACTGTTTTGCTAAGTAGTTGGGTTATGTTAGCAGGCTTTCTTTCTAATCTTCGATCTAATGCACAAAGTGGGAGAAAATTCATCATCTCTTTTGCATCATCCCTTCCACGCGTATGTGTATAAACACACTCAACACCCCAACTCCTGTTTCAGTTTTGTATTGGGAGATACATATCCAGAGTAAGAGAAAAACAAAGGATGACTAGTGAGATGTTTTGGAGAATTGGAAGGAAGTGCCTCGTACAAAATTGTGTTATCTATTTAATTCAGGAAGACAGGCTTGCCGTTCCCATAAAAGCTAAAATAATACAGAATGAGAAAAACTTAGCTTTTTCTTTCCAGAAGAAGATTCTAAGCCAGTGAAAGAACATGTTTATGTTGAAATGTATTATTAGTCTGATTCATTCTAGTTCCTAGTGACTTGTGCAATGCTGTCTACTAAAAATTACTAATGTCTCGCAGGGCAAAATCAATTTGCTGATTCCTGGTTTAATTGCCTTCTGGGTTTGAAGTAAGCAGAAGTATAGAGGGTAATAATGGCTTTAATAACACGTTTTCTTTGTGCATAATAAAACTAACAAGGGTTAGGCAAGAGATGTTGACAATCCGGTTACAGATAACATGGTGGTAGAGTACGATCTAAACAGACTCTGAAAAAACAGGTATGTTAGCATGTAAATGGTCTGGTTTGAACTCTTAAAATAAGCTGTGAAAGATGCTGACTCTTTCGTTGCCTGACTTCCGAGAACTTTGTTACGTTTTAATACTTTCTGGGTTTTTTTCCTTTCAGGAAATTCAATCACATTTGTGAACAAACACGATTCAAGAACTGAATACTCGTAGTCTGTAGGGTGGGGACAAAAACCTGTTACACTGCTTGTACAGTTTAAGGTTTCAGGGGATCTTCTCAGTTCCCCCATAGCAGGGAATCAATAACTTTTTTGCATCAGGTAATCTGGTGTGAACTTTTTAATCTGTAGACTTTGACAGCTGTACACGAATAAGGTAGAGCTCTTTTTCCAAGGAAGTCCAGCAAGCATTGCATTCCATCCTCGTGACTACAGTGTCCCTGCGTCACCTCAATGAAGAACACAAGCGGAAGTCACACACACACACAAACCAGCCATATCTTGGGAAGACCTAAGAGTAAGGAGTGTATTTGCACTACTTGTGAAGAAACTAAGAAAAATCCTTAGACTTAAAATAGAAGTGTTTTGTAAAAGTATCTGATGGATATTTCAAGAGCCATTAATATTTAAGAAGGAGATTGTCAGTGTATATTTGTAACTGCGTTTTGCGGTAGTTTGATATTTTGTCGCTACCCATTGCATTTGGGCTAGAAACCACATTAATACTCGCTTTAAAAAAAAAAAAAAAACCCCGTCCATTAAACAGCTGTTTCAACTTCAAGCTTCTACTATATTGCAGTGTTACAGCGGAAGTAGTACAGTTTCTTTTCTTAGTTTAGTCGTGCTGATGTTTTTATTCACGTTAAATTACAAAAACAATTGCACAAACAATTGAAAATCGCATTTAAAGTTGGGGTAATACTTGAAGCAGAAAAGAATTCTGCTAATATTACTTCTGTAGTGTTTTCTATCGGAAGACCAAACCGTGCTTTGGATCTAGAGCAGCCAGTAGGACACACTGGTTCGTTTTTTTGTATTTCTGTTTTTGGTTTGATACCACGTGCTAAATACGTACCTCTGCCATGCAGCTGTTCTCTAGCATGCGTACACTGGTGAAAATGTAGAAAAAGCTATAATTTAGAATGGAATATAGCAGCTTTACTGGAAGGAGCGGTCTTAGAGGAAATAATTCAGTCTGGACAAACTGTAGCAATATGGAGTCATTTCTGGATAGGGATGATGAAGAGGAACACTGGTGTCATTGATGTAAAAAAAAATTTAATTTCATTTTCATGCCTTCTGCTGAGCTCGTTCAGGGGATGTCCCAAGCATCATTAAAAAAATACCCCAACCCCACCTTCCCCCGCCCAAATCGATCTGATCTGTCGCATCATAATCTGGTAGCTAATGTTGACAAACCTCAACTGGGACCAATTTTTCATCACACCTAGAAGAGTGAAACAGAACGCGAACAAAGTTACCTCTGTAGATACCATGTTGTGTTTAAGTATGCCTTATTGTATGAGCAGGATTTATACTTCAGTGTTACAAAACGTACACGCGGTATCCTGTGAGTTAATGGAGCACAAACGACGCAGCACGTTGTGTCGACTGGTGTCGGTGGGTTAAACAACTCTCTCCAGTAATGCACATCTCAAGATGAATGCTGATTAGAGTGATGCATTTGTGTTTAGATCTTTATTTTTGCAAGGATGGGTCTGTTGACCATGCCCGTATGCTATTAAAAATACACTTTGGTGTGGACTTCTCTTCCTAATCTCTGGGCATTTTCTCCTGTGAGTAGGATTGAAATTGGATCTGGAATAATACTTGAAACTTCTTTTAACAACAACAGTGTGTTTCTGTCTTTTAGTATTATTAACAATGTTCTGTTGCTTCTGTATTTGTATTTTATGTTTAGAATTTTTTTTTTATGGTTATTGTATCTTCTCAGGACAACCATTCTCAGCTGGTTTTGATCTCGCTTCCATCTCTGGCTGTGCCTGTAGCAAACTGAGTGCAGTTGTGGAGATGGAGCCTTTGCACATTACGTGCGGAAATGTGCTTTGCGTTCTCGTTCGCCACTTCCCACACCCCAGATGGGCTTTCAGCACAGACTTGTCGCTGTGCTAGTGCTCAAGCCTCTTGTGCTGAATTTTTTTTGTTGGTCAAGAATAACATGTCGACAGTGCTACGTACAACCTCGCTTGCACTTAGGTTTGTGTTTGTGTAGGGATGTACTGTGTGACTTCAAGAAGGAAGACTGGGGGAAAGAAAACAAACAACAAAACTCACGTACTGAACATCTAAACTACCTGTGCAGTAGAGGCTCTTCGTATTCCTTTTATAGACCCCCCCCTTCCCTCTCACAGATAATTAATCTGCCTTTCTATGCATATAGGGTTGCGGTAGTGCAATGGAATGAAGGGATTTTTTTTGCCATTTATATTGTTCCAGGAAGAGATGAGAAATTAACTTGCTGATGGGGAGGGTGAATAAATCCTGATCTTTATATGCTCTTAAGTAAGTAAGAGTATCTGTCATGGGTATTACATACTCTGTACATCAGACCTTTTTAATGTATGGTTGCCAGGTGATAGTTAATGTGATAAATGTATGAACTATGCTTGGTGTAATTGTTTAAATACTGTAAAGGTGCAGCATATTTTTAACCTGTCTCAAGCACATCCCCACCTCCTTTATAAGAGAGATTTGGAAGCTAAGCATGAGCAGTGGTAGAGTAGATGTTGTGAAAACCGGGGTGATTATGATAGGCTTTGACATAGTGGTGGACAAGGTATGTAGTCTCTCTTTGAGAAAGTTCTTTTATAAAGAAGGTGGCGAGTAGTTCTTCCAGTTCTCTTTTGTGATTTATTTTTTTCTTGAACTAAGAAGTTATTAATTAAAAAAAAAAAAACCAAAACAAAATCATGTTCACTGAAGTTGTCTGTTTCCTCTGTGGCATATTCTCTCACCACAGAAATGGGTGTGTGCAACACTTTCTGGTGCTTGGTCAAGCTATTAGTTTTTTGAATGTTGGGATTTTACAAATGAATGTCATCCTTGAGCTTGTAGTAACTGAAAATTACAGGAGTTTGTTTGGTCATTCCAAGAAGTTCTCTCAAACGAGTGTTAGATGATTTTACTAAGGATCATCAGTATCTACAGGATTTCTAACTAATTATATAAGTGGAAAACTATGAAGTAGAATTCATTTTTGTCAACAGGATGACTTGGAGAGGCTAGTAAATAAAAGGGTTTGCTAATTTCGAAAAGGTTGATACTATTTTAATTTCTTGCGACACTGTGAACCCTTGAAGGGATGAGCATTGTACCACTACTGATTTAACAGCAGACTAGAGAAAATTACTGTTATTGTGTTCATCTTCACCGAATTTGAATAAATGCTAAGACTTCAAATGGCTACTCTTAATAGAACTTCTTCTGAACAGAACTTTTTCTTTGCTGAGTGAATAGTAGGACTCGTCTGCTCCCTGTTTCTCTCCGACGTGGAAGGCAGCGATGCCCAGGTTGTTAAGCTTCAGAGTGCAGCCCAGCATCCTAGGCTTTTTGCACTGTTGCCTTTCCCACAGTCAAAGCTGGATATCCTTTCATTTTGTAGCTACTCTGGATTGCTGTTCTTAAACCAGCTGCCACTTCTTCTTCAGACTACGTTTAGGAGAAACTCAAACTCATGGTGAAGTAACGTAGAAGTGGAAATGCAGTGGTGTTCTGTACGCCACAGACACGCTGACAGACCTTAAAACTTGTAGCGGTTTTGGCTTGTCCTGCACTTCTGTTGGTGGATTGAAGTGTTTTATACCCGGTTATGTCAACAAATGACTTGTAACTAGTTTAGCTCGAGGAAGCTGCTGATTGTGGGTTTATGCCCTATCAAGCGAGCAGTTCTGGCACAGCGTAAGCTCTTCCAAGCGCTTCCTCCATAAAGAATAAAGAAGATGGTAGCATGGTTGTGAGAAAGAGAATACATTATATGACCTTTTGCAGCTGGAATAGCGGACAACGTGCTAATTTCAGCAGCTCACCTGGGAGCCCTCAGTGTGTCTCAAGTATTTGAATCGGCAACTGTGTAGGGTAATTTGTGTTTAAGCTCTGATACTGTTTTCCTTGAATTTAATAGAAAAAAATGTTGTATTTGACACTCAAAGATCAACCATTAGCTCATTCATTCTGCAAACAAAATACGTCCGTTTGGTATGAATTTCTAGTCTCCAGCAGAACTGTGTAGTGCAGATGGCGTAGCCTACAGCAGAGCTTAGGGAAGTAAGTTGATTGAAGTAGAAGGAGTTGAGCATTTGAGGACAGAATGCTCAATTCTAAATTATGCTCTGAAAATCTGGTTTCTTACGGCCTCTTAGAAATTTCTGTTGGAAGGGGGCCTTATTTTGTACAGTCTGGCCTCTAAAAATAAACCACAGTCATTGTTACTGGAAGTTAGGAAAAGGTTCTCTTGGTTTCAAAAAATGTGTGGGAATTTTGCATTTTTTCCACCTATTTTATCTGACATTCCTTCTGCATGATGTTTGGGAGCTAAAATACCACTTGCACAATTCCAAGGAATAACTTCTGAAGAAAACTCATTATACTGTTTCCCACAGCAATGCTTAATATGCAAAGATTGCTTCTAAATCTGCTTTTCAGGTCATCCTTCTTTTCTTCGCACTTCACCATTTTGACTTTCAATGAGGTAATTTCACCCTTAAGCTCATTAGTTTCCATAGGAAATGAATTATAAAACATGCTAAGTGTGCCATATGAGGTTTAACTTCAAAGACATTTCTAGACAAACCATGAATATAGGTTGAAGCTGTACTTGGTCTCTGGGTGTTCTTTTCAGGGCTGCTGAGTTGCAGTCGCTTTCGGTAAGTTAGTGTTGGCTTAGGACTTACCCTTTTTCCTTGCAGTCCAAATTAATCTTGAATTGTTTAGAAGAAAATCTAGTCTCTGACTGGACTATTTGAGTCAAAGGTGTTTTGTTACGGCTCATGTGCCATTCTTAGGGAGGGGAAAAAAACCCAAAAGCATGACCAGTTATGAGTAGGAAGCTTTGTAAGCAACAGCTCTTAAGGAAAAGTTACATTTCTGAAAGTAAACCTCAGTTTGTGTTTCTGCTAGGAAGTTATAAAAGGATTTTTCTTGCTACTCTGAATCCTCAAAGTTAGGATGCGTTAGCTCCATGTCAAATCTTTTGCATTGTTTTCCCATTGAGCTTGCGTTCTCAACCAGTTTAACTACCTGACAGTTAAGAAACCTAGCACGCAGGATTATTGTCAGCTTGCACAGCTTCAAGCTTTTATTTTGAAGCTCTGTTTCAGCAATGAAAAAAATTGGGAATACTTACGTGTTTTGTCCTATTCAATCCATTGGCTAGAGGGATTTGTCCCATATATTCCAGAGAAATTAACTTTTTAAAAAGTGATCGTTATTCAAAT